CCCAACTCCGCCCCGCCGCGCCCGCGCCCTGCGCCCTCCCGCGGCGACAGCGACCCTCCTCCTCCCGCGCTCGACTCCGCCCTGCCTGCCCGGCCTCGGAGTGCCCGCGCCCTAGATGCTGCGCCCTCCCGCGGCCACAGCGACCCTCCCTCCACGCGCCTCGCCGCCGTCCAAGACTGCGCCCTCTTAGCCAACGTCCCCTCCGTCCGGATCGCTCCAGGAGCCCGCAGTTGTTTCCTAGCTGGATTCACTCTGAGGGGATCCCCCTCCTCCCGCGCCTGGCCCAGCCTTCCCGGGCGCTCTCTTCCCTCCGAGGCGTGTGAGCCGGGTGGGTGCGGGCTCCTTCCAGCACCCCTAGCCCCTCTCCCCTCCCTCCCTCCGGCAGCCCTGGGAGGGAGCACTTTGCTCGCCGGCGTTTCTCTTTTCCACCAGGACAGGGAGGGAGGTGGGAGGGGGCGGGAAGCTTTTGCCAGCAGAGACCAATCCGGCCAAAAATAACCCTGGAAAGGCGAGCTGGGGATTGTTATCTTCTGCCAGCGCTGAAATTGGAGGCCGGGGCTGCGTGTGTGTGTGTCTGTGTGCGCGCACACGCCCTGCGCTACCATTTGTTGCTGGGAATCACAAGCTGTCAGACCCTGTGGTCCAGTGGGACCCACCCCGGCCAGCCTCGCTTTCCTAGCCTGCTCAAGGAGGCACGCTTTGGAAGGGGGGGAAAAACTTTTTTTTTGTTTTGCTTATTTGTTTGTTGTGATGGTTCCAAGACCAGCAATCAAAACACGTTTTCCTATTTTCTTCTTGCCTCACTAGGCCAGCTGCAGCTCGGATGAGTCCTACATTGGACTTGTCCATTCAGCTGAACTCTTACTCCGGATTCATCACTTTCAACTGGAGGAAGCCAAGGTCTTTGTTAAGGACCCCTGGTGATGGAAAGATTATGCGCTGGCTGATAGGTGCTAACCAGGTTGGTGGAAGAAAGACCTGGCGATCCGCTTCCATAGAGATCGTTGGGCCTGTATGACTTGGAACCAATTCCACAGCGCCTAACAGTAACAAAGTCCTTTTCAATGTCCTACCAGGAAGGAATAAGAAATGGATAGTGTTGATGTTGGTGTAGCTCAGTTGTACTGTAAAACGGTTGAAATGGTCAATGTTTTGTTGTGTATATATTGCTGGAAATAAAATTTTTTTTAAAGAAAGAAATAAACAAGCTCAAATTTAACAAGAACAGGGGACCAGGTGGAATCCTGGTGGCACCATAGGTTAAGGTCAGTGGTTCAAACCCACCTGCCTCTAGGCAGAAGAAACGTGAGGCTACCGCTTTTGCAAAGATACACAGTATTAGAAAGTCTAAGGAGCTGTTTGGCCCTACCCTGTGCGGTCTCTGTGAGTCCGAATCGACTCAGTGGTTGGGGTTGGGGTTGGGGACCAGGTGCTGGGCCAGGACGTCCACACGAATCCTCTCCTTCTGCAAGGACTAGAGATGGTCTGCCTTCTTTCCTTAACCAAAACCAACCAACCAGCTGCCTTAACCAAAACCATCCAGCCAGCTGCCTTTGGGTCAGTTTTGACTCATGGTGACCTCGTGTGTCAGGGTAGAACTGTGCTCTGCACGGTTCTCAAGAGCTTATATTTCAGAAGTATTTTCCAGGCTTTTCTTCCAAGGCACCTCTGGGAGAACTCAAACCTCCATCCAGCCCCTTGGTTAGCAGCCAGGGGTACTAACTGCTTAACCCCAAACCCAAACCAACACTGTCTGTGGAGTCAATTACCAACTACTGGCCACCCTCTGAGTTACAGAACAGGCTCTTCTTGGTTGTATAGTCTTTATGGAAACAGTTCCCCAGGCCTGGCTTCTGTGGAGCAGCTGGGTAGGTTCGAACCACCAACCTTTTGGTTAGTAGTTGACTACAAACCCACTTGTGTTAATCAGGCTCCTTTTGCCTTAAAACACATTTCCAACCTGAAACTAAGAACTGTCCCCCCAAGTTCTGAGTTTATGTTCATGGTGGTGGAATATTCCGGAACAAGGTTGTCACGGCTATTCCACATGAACATATAATCAATGTCACTAAACGACACATGTAGAGAAACTGTTTAATTGGGGAAGGTTTTGTTGTGTCTAATTTCACCATCACTAAAAAAATATTTAAATACCCCACAGAAAGCAGGAGTGGAGAGAAAACAGACCATCAGAATAAAAGCCCAAAGAGAGAAGAAACAGTTTCTGTTTTGGCTTCTGTCTCTTTTCATCTCCAAAGCATCTTTGCACCGCTAAGGCTACTGTCTTGAATTCGGCATCTTCTCCTTCAAATAGCATCCACATCCTGGAGCTGAAATATACTTTATGCAGGTTGGGGACATGCTCCATCCTAGACAGGTACGGAGGAGGCAGAACTCAGACTTGTAAAGTGCTTTACATCTGGTGCCTCTTTGGAGACAAAACAAAACAAAAAGTAGGAATGCTGTTCACACTTGCCCTGTTTTCCAGATGAGGAGGTAGCGGTTCTCTATGAGGTCAAGCAATTGCACAGATGGTAGGTAGTCTTGTGAAGTCCCTACACCTTTTATCACCATCACTGGAGTATAACCGATCAACCACTAGAGATATCAGTTGAAGTCTGTTGGAACTTGTAGCTACTTTCTGAAGTTAGGGAGACCCAAGAGATTCTGAAGGCTCCCTTCCACGGCAAGAAAGCGAATATTGCATAACACAAAGCTCCAAGACGTGGAATGACACAATGGCTTTAACAAGACCGAGCAGCATTTTGGGCACATAGAGTCGCTATGAGTCCAAACCGACTCAACGTCACCTAACAACAACGCAGACATGATTCAGTTTACGAACTACCCTATTCCAGTAATACCACATTAACATGATGTTGTGGACTGAATCACGTTCCCCAAAAGTCTGTGTTGGAGTCCTAACCTCCATGACTGTGGGTATTATGATCCCATTGGAGAAGAGGGTGGTCCTTGTTATGTTAATGAGACCATATCAGGGGAGGGTGTCCTATACCTAATCACTGAGACACAGAGAGGTACTGAGAGAAGCAAACACACACTGCTGAAAGACAGATGCTGAAAAAAGGCTTTCCCCCAGAGCTGACAGAGAGATCTTCCCTCTAGAGCTGGTACCCTGGCCTCTGGCTTTCAGCCTCCTTGTTGTGAAGTGCCGTCTAGTTAGTTCTGACTCATAGCGACCATGTATAGGAGCAGCTGGTGAGATTGAACCACTGATTTTGTGATTCAAACTAAACTGACTTTGCTTTCAAGTGCTGATCCTATAGGTCCACACCAGGACTCCTCCAGCCTTGTTGTTGTTGTTGAGTGCCGTCGAGTCGGTTCCCACCCTAAACTGAAAAAATAGATTGTTGTTGTTGTTAAGTGCTGTGGAGTCGGTTCCGACTCATAGTGACCCTGCACAGGGTTTCCGAGGCTGTAAATCTTTACAGGAGCAGAACGCCTCATCTTTCTCCCGCGGAGTCACTGGTAGTTTCGAACTGCTAACCTTGAGGTTGGCAGACTGATTCGTAACCACTACGCTACTTAGAAAATAGATAGCTGCTCTTGAAAACCACCCACTAGCAGTATTTCTGCTTCGCTGCCCTAAGGAACCAATACAACAAAAGAGAAACCTAATTTCCGTACAGGATCAGTCACCTGTAGAAGGGTTAGGATTTGAACATGTGTTTGCAGGGGGACATAATTCTATCTCATACACCACTGGGATGACCAAGTGGTTAAGGCTTTGAACTTGAGATCAAGGTTTTTTGGAGTTGTGGTGCAGCACGGTAGGGTATGCACTGGACTGCTGGCCATACGGTTAGTGGTTCAAACCCACCAGCCACTCCTTGGAAATCCTATATAGGAGCTCTAGGAGCTGGAAGCAACTTGACAGCACTTAACAACAACAATTGGATCTCTGTTTCTGACTCACAGCGCACATATAAGACAGGGTAGACCTGCCCCCGTAGGATTGCCAAGGCTGGCGTCTTTAAGGAGACATACTGCCACATCTTTCTCCCCAAGAGCAGCTGGTGGGTTTAAACCACTGATCGATCATGTCGCAAGGAACCACCAGGGCTGCCACTTTCTGCCTGTTGGGATTGTTGTTAAGTGCTGATGAGTCAATTCCAACGCATAGTGACCCTGTATGGGGTTTCCGAGGAGCAGCTGGTAGGTTTACCTGCCGACCTCGTAGTTGGCAGTTCAGTGTTTATCTTACAGCATCACACCAGGAGTCTCGTAACACCCAGTAAAGAACACAAGGACACAACCCCACGCTTGGGAAATGACTCGGAACTGACTCATTGGCAGTGGGTTTAGGTTAGGGTTTGAGAGCCAGCCAATCTCTCTCTCTCATCATTGTTCTTGTCCATCAGGAGGGGACAAGGTGTCCACATGAAAGACTAGATGGGATGGCTTTACCACTCAGGAGGAATTCTGGAAGACCATTTCCCTTGGGCCCCCTTTCCAAATTCCCAAACACTGCTCCTGAGTCAATGAGCCCAGCCACACAGCCTCTGGGTGGGAGCTGGGAAAAGGAGTGCCTCCATAGTAAGGAGGTGCTGGTCCCCAGAGAGAAGGCTCCTACTGGTACATCAGGAGCCCTGGTGACGTAGTGGTCAGGAGAGAGGCTACTAACCAAAAGGTCAGCTATTCAAATCTACCAGCCACTCCGCAGAAGAAAGATGAGGCTTTCTGCTCCCGTAAAGATTTACAGACTCGTCGTCGAACGAGGAATATCATTGCCGATGCCCAATGGATCTTGGCTGAAAGCAGAGAATATCAGAAAGATGTTTACCTGTGCTTTATTGACTATGATTGTATGGATCATGACAAGTTATGGACAACATTGCGAAGTATGAGTATTCTGGAACAC